ACTTAATTGGCACGAACTTATCCACTTTTCTATTCCAGGGAGGGACTAATGTTATTGTCCCATAGGACAGAATGAAAATATGGAAGCAGGCAGGGGGGCACATGGTATTCCTAAATGTGTTTGATTCATGTTTCACCTACATACTCACTCTGCACTTACAGAAATGATTCTGCTCTTCCCCCCAAAAAAACCAAACAACAACAACAACAACAACAACAACAACAACAACAAAAAAACATTAGAATTAGTTGGGCAGCCAATGGCATCTCTTAAAGCAAGCAGCTTAAATAGGAAATTATGAAATATGTTAAATTTTTTTCTCAAATGAGATATGACTCCCAGGGTGGCAATCAATTTTGAGTTGAGGGATGGTAAATGGAGGTTAAATCATGAATTCACACTTTCCCTTATGATCATCAAATCAACACTCTTAAATTATCTTCATCAAAGGCTCGAAGTCACTTGTTTTACGCTTCTCCCAGTCCCTGGTGCTGGCATGTTAATGGTCTTTGCCATTTGTAGAGTAGCAAGCGGCCAGATCAATAAGCGTGCTTAGCTGCTTGCCATTAAAATTGATCTGTCCAATCCTTCCGATTGACGTCATATCCAGCTGTAAATATCATCAAGTAAGCTGTCAACTCATTTTCATTATGAGTGTTTTTCATCTCAAAAGATGGACTTCAGTTGAACAGCATGTTAGGTCTTTTCTTCATTATTTCTGACATTTCCTCGATAGCATCAAGAGCATCTTTAAAGCAAAAACCAGCACTGGCCAGCAACTTTTACAACGAAGGGCAAAAGACAACTGCAGCAGTGACAACAAACAAAACAGACAACAGAAGAGAAATGTCCTCACCAGCTAGAATGTCAGAAACAAACATGAAATGCTGAAGTGGAACCTGGATTGGTGTTCTCTTTGACATGTAACCCAAGCCCAAGAGATGTCCGCGAGCAAGAAGATTTGCATAAAGAAATTTCAGTGCCGTATTCTTGGAAAGGCACATTTCTAAAAGGGTTTACCTTTGATACTGCAATGTGTATGTGATAGTTCATCAAAACTCCTCCCTGGGCAAAGTTCTTTGAAGATTAGTGCCATGTGATAGAGAGGGGACTTACCTGAAAATCCTCCTGGTAAAAATTAGAAAAGACCAACTTCTTTTCTCCTGCCCACTTGCCCACCAATTGTTTTCTAAAGAACACAAGACATTGTTTCTGGTTCTCATCTAGCTTCCACTGAAACACTAGATTAAAAGTAATATTGCCATAACAACTTAAATTCCTTCAGAAATTCTAATTGGTATAAATATAATTGCATATATGTGTGTTATTTTCAGATTATAAATAAACAGGCAAACAAAAAAAATATGTTTGGCTGGTAAGATAGGCACAAAAAAATTGGAAGAAATTTTTAGACTGTCAGACAATATGGTCATTACATATTTGGATGGTTCTCTTTGAACCATCAACTCTCCACTCAACCTTTTCCATTACAATTTCTTATTTTTGTTCCACTGAAAGGTATTACAAGAAACTTTTACATGAATTTCACAACAGAATTTTCTCCAGGAATATTGAGGGTATAGTTTGTACCACTCCAAATATCCTAGGAAGCTTCTACTAGGAAATAAATTGTTTAGTGTTAAGTGAGCTAAGGCCTAAGAGCAACAAGCAGCTCCTTCACTACCTGATAGTGAGAATTGTTTTCTGCCCATCTTCCCTCTTAATTTTGGCTGCCTGGAAGGTCTGAATTGAATTTGAAATGGTCCAATAGAAAGTCTAACAGACTATGATTGCATAGATGTTCTCTCTCTATGCAGTTTGATTTACTGTTTTTATGATTGTTATTGCTTTGTATAATCTTTGAAATTTTCTCAGATTCATGAAAAGAGAAAGAGTACAAGTAATATAAACAAAATAATGTTTATCAGAGGATCTGTCAATGTTTTAAAAACATGTCAAATTCTGATAAAAGTTAAAGTCATGAATTATTCGCTTCAAGATACTCTATAATATCTTTCATAGTACTAATAACACTTAAATTCTGTGAATGCCTATCTATTAATAGAGGCTAGACTATTTTCTGAGTCATTGTTTATCACCACTTTGCAAATAGAGACAATGTATCTCATTTTTAGAGACTGTCACTTATGCACTTAAAGTCACCTGTCCTGTAAGTGATCAGTGAGGGCTTTAATTTCTCACATGAAATGGAGAAATAAACTCTGTAAAGTTATAAGCTACTCAGTGAAACAATTTATGTACAATAATCTGTGAAATGCTTGTGATGTAACAGATATTTATCACTTTAATTATAGCATTTATCATGAATAATATAACTATTAGGATCCCAAATAACTCCATTATACAATTATTTTATTATTTATATATATTACATAATTATTCAAAGTATTAGAAACAACTTCTGCTATTCATTATGTTTTATGGCAAAGTTACTTATTTGTTCTTCTTAATCATGTATTAAATATTCTTTAGAATTTACTTTTGTCCAGCCACTAACACACAAGTAAACAAAGAAAGACAAAATAAGAAGTTATCATTTAAGACACATAACTCTATGAGGTCCCTGCCTTGGAAGCCAGACTTCTTGATCATTACTTAACCACCTGAAGGTACTGAGGATAAAGTTGATGTCTGAATTCTTGTTAAATGACAGTGCTCCTGATCACATGAAACAATGTTGATAAATAGCCATTATTTGATTCCTGCTGGAAATTCTGGGTGGGTTCCACATTTTAGAAAACTGTTCCACAGTTATGTATTAACATAACTGACCACTTCTTCCTTGCAGTATTTTCTCCAGTACCTTCTCTTAGGCTATTTCCAACCTGTCTGCACAGACCTTCTGTCTCCTTTGTTGGATCCTCCTTTCATCCTCCAGTAGAATGCTGTGAGTCCAGGGCTTTAGCCCTTGCTTTTCTTCACTGTCTGCCAGTACTCACTCCCTTGGTAAAGTCACCCTGTTTCATGGCATAAAGAAAATTTCTGTCTGTAGCTTAGATCTCTTTCTTAGTTTCCAGATTCATAAAATCAAATGTCCATAGATTTACTAAGTATCTCAAATGAAACATCCAAATCTGAACATTAGCAAACTCCTCTTAAATTGGCTCTACCTCTGTCTTCCTATCTTAGTTGAAGGCAGTAACACCTTCCAAAGTCTCAGGCTGAAATCACCCATTACTGCCCTGTATGCCTCACATTTGTTTTTAATGCTCACTATCCGCTGTATTATCAAATCCTTTTGGCACTTTCTCTTACTTCTACTGCTCCCCTGGTGTAAGCGCCCCTCATTTTTCTTCTAGATCATCACAGTGGGCTTTTGATTGGTTTCTGTTCTCCCCTTATCCCTTATAGTGAGCATAGGAACCCAGTGATCATTCTGAATTGCACCCAAGGTTCTATTAGTTTGCTATTCAAAATTCATATGGTGATTTTATATCTCACTCAGGGACAAAGCCAGTCTTGAAAGTAGTTGTCAAGGCTCTACCTGTGTTAGCTCAGTCCTAACCGATAAATCATAACTGACATATGGTCTTTCATTGGCTATTAGAAAATACTGTTTTTTTCTTTTTCATGCAGGCACAGAAATATTAAATATTTTCAATAAAGTGTCACCTTGTACCAGACACATTTTCTTTTTAAAAATATTTTATTTTTATTATTTTTTATTTTATGCACATGAGTGTATTGTTTGCATGCATGTAATGCAATGCCTGCAGGGGTCAGAAGACAGTGTCGGATCCCTTGGAACTGGAGTTACAGACAGTTGTTAGCTGCCATGTGGGTGCTGGGAACTGAAACCGGGTCCTCTGCAAGAGCAGTCAGTGCTCTTACGCTGAGTCATCTCTCCAGCTCCCAGAAACATTTTCAAGTAAGTATAATTTCTCAGTCTTTCCCACTTATTTGCATATTTTTAATAGTTGCATTTGTAAACTGTATTCAATTTTAATGTTATCTTCTCCAAACATCTTGGTTAACCATCCATCCTGCTTAGTGTTAGAACTCTAATTTAATAAACAATGAACTCCAGTAACTAAAGGAAAAATCATATTGTAAAATAAGCTAAAGGTTTTCATCCTTACTTTTTCTTGACTTCAGTGCATTATTTCCTTCCATGCATCCAAGGTTCTTCTCACCAATAACATAAAATAAAACCGTACAAACGTGATGTTTATTAACTATCCTAAACCAAATTTATTTTTCTAGATCTAAATCACAGCATTTTCTTGAATGATACCTTCTATTTCTATGGAAACTTTAAATTAAATCCCTTATATTCTTACTTCTCTTTCTCAAAACAAACAAAAAAGAAAACAAAAATAATAGGTATTCTTTTAGTGAGTTGCTTAATTTTTCTAGCCTTGATTAACAATTGAGATTGCCTTGGGTTTTCAGTCTGTTTTGTGAGTTTAATAATCTCATCCCAAGTTTTACATTCATTTTCCTAGGTTAACTTTATTCATTCTCAATTAATTAATTTTCAATTAATTAATTAATCCCCCTTGCAACTGCCTTAGTGGCATCACAACTCGTCTTAATGGTGTGGTGCCCATTCTAATTAAAATCAATATGCAGTTCTTACTGACATAATCTTGTCTACCAGAAATACTGAAGCACTAGATAGAATCTATTCTATTTTTAGAGCAGATCCATATGATCTAATACTATTTCACAGTACAAGTTAAAAAATACTTGTTTTATATCTTAAACTATAATGTGATCAATATCATTTATTTGGCAGTACATTCTAGTAAGAAACACATTGGCTAGGAATGAAAATCGTATTGCCTCTTTCAATCAGATAATCATGCTCTTTCACTAAACGTTATGTACTTTAGATTTCAGGGATGTGCAATGCATCCATTCAAGTGCCATCGAATTTACTAGACTTTACCATGATATAAATTCCAGATTTGTTTCAATTATTGGTAAATTTGTAGAGTAAGGGCTGCATCTTAACAGAGATTTGAGTTTCGTTGGAATCAGACACTGACCTGAAATAACACATTAGGAGGAGAAGACATTATTTCTGTGTCTATCCCGACTAAAGTAGCACTGATAAAATTTTATAGTGGGCTGGCACAAAGATTAAGTTCTAGCCCCCTTTCAATTCATGATTCTATGTTATGGAAAGAAAATCAGAATGGGCTCATCTGACATTACTTGAAATTTGGCATTCAATTTTAAATAGTGTAGGCTTTGTCCATGATTTGCTGAGAGTAATAAAAGATGTTGATAATAACAGTTCTATGCTGGGTTTTTGTCATTGCATGGCTCTTGCACAAAATCACACACATTAATCTGAGAAGGAGCTATGCCTTCTTGGGACATGTGAAAGGCCTCGAATTGTCCTTTCAACCAAACCAGTTTTCTAAAAACATGTTACTGCTTGCTTATTTCTCTGACAATTCATATTAAATCATGGATTAATCTATGTAAAGATCTGCTTGGGGGGTATATAAAATTTGAAGAATTTTCTATGGATGCTAATCTGTTTTGTCGGTTTTGATTTTTCCCGCATTATGTCTTTTACTCTTCTGTGGTGAAAATGGTTTATCTGGTCTTTTTCTTTTATAATTTTCTACTTTCCTTGTTTTCATTTCATTTTCACATATTCATTTAGGCTTCCTTTTGATGTTTTTCCTTATTCTCTCTGTATTCACAATGCTTTGCTCCTGTATTTAGAAGGAGGGATTTATTTTATTATTTTATTTATTTGGGGAGAGGCTACTGGGGATCAAACTAGGACCTTTTACTTCCTAGTCAAGTATTTTACCACTGAGTTATACCTCCAATCCCTAGAAGATTTGTGTTTAGTTTTTCTCTCTAAATTCTGCAGTTTAGGTACTTTAATGAACTACTGGGCAGTAAAACGCATCTCACAGTCACAAGTTAAATCATATCTTATGTGCAATTATGAAAGTTTACACTTTTACAAAAACAAAGTGTAAACAAAAGAAGCACATGTTAAGTCTCCATAATGTATTTGTGAGATACAGTTCAAAGTATTTAGTGTTGGAGAATCACTGGTGATTCACTGTACAGAAAATAAGTTTTCACAGGAACAAACAACACAGACATTTGGAAGTCTGTGTGGATGATAAATTTCCTAGTAAATCTGGTGTCCTAGGTATCATGTACATTCAGTGACATGTAGTAAAACAGCAAATCAACATTTGCGGGTTAGAAGACCTTCAGATTTTTTTAAAAATCAGATTATCAATTCCCATACCCAATTGCTACTATCACAAATCACAAACACAACACTGGCAGCCACCAGTGCTGGATTTTAAAACAAGTACAGTGAACCACTCTGGAATCTGCCTTGAAATGTGAGATCACAGAGATTGCTGATCCAGCATGGTCTCATATTATAAAAATAATAATGAGCTGCTGTGAACACTTCTCTTTTCCTCATTATTTTTACCTGGTTCCATAAAATGATAATGCTTTAAACATTATAGACCTAACATAGATCTATTGCTAATAGTTTAAGAAAAATAGTTTCATATTTCATTTGTTTCTAAATGATACGCCTTTCTATCTTGTTTTTTATTCCTCTGTAAAGGGAAATATTGTCTTGGTTTCTCACACATCCTCTATTCTTACACAGACTTTATTAATCTATGATTTATAGATATAGAAATATGAATAGGAATGCAGTTCCTTTAGAAATATGAATAATGACACATTTTGTATATTATTGCTATATGAACTTTAGACACCAAAAGCAATTTGTTGAATTCTGACAAATCACATGTACTTAATATTCTCCCCTCAAGGAGGGAGGATGTCACTCTCTACTCTCTAAATGTGGCTATTCATGGAAACTTTGTTCTAAAGAGTACAATATGGAAGACTATTTCATTTACAACTGAATGCTGTATTCAGTTTTATACTTCTTGAACTATTTTTTGTCTTTAAAATATAAAGCACTATCATTTATGAGACAACATAAAAGCAACAAAGAATAGAGAGGGATGTTTCCATTGACTCGTGACTACTGTGCATATCATACAGTAATCATATTTGAGGATATTAACAAACACTACCTCAGCCAGGTATCCAAGGGTAGGTGAGGTCATGTTGACACAACCATTCATCAGCCTTTAGTGGTCACATTGACAGCTCATATCCTTAGTAGCCTGTAGTAAAGGGAGCAATTCATCTCTGTTGATCTTCTTCCCCAATCTATCAAAACACTTTCTATGAGGAAAAAATGTCATACAAACCCATATTAAAGAGCACTGTAAAATTCCTCTCTCATGTTCTTCAAAATGATCAGAGGCATAAAAAGTAAGTGAAGTCTGATAGAGTCTCACACTCTAGTGGACTCAAAAAAGATGTTATAGCCAATATTAGATCACAATAAGAATGTTGATCTTGGACTGAAAAAATACTTTGGGTAAAAGTTAAAAATCATTAATGAATTATGAACATTGCATTAATAAAGTATCCATGTTGGTATAATTTATGATGAATATACTGTAGTAATTTAGATGAGAGATACATGGGACCTCTCTAACATTCTTATAGCTTTTCTGTAGTTTTGGCACTGTTACAAAATGTAAGTTTTGTTTATTTAAAAGAATGTTTTAGTTATTATTTTTATGTAATGTGTATGAATATATTGCCTGCATGTGTGTAAGTGCACCAGGTTGTGCAATGCTTGTAGAAGTCAGAAGAGGGCACTAGATTCTGCTGGAACTAGAGTTACACATGATTGTTGGCCACCATGTGGGTACTGGGAATCAAACCTGGGTCCTCAGGAAGAACAGCCAGTGCTCTTAACTGTTAAGCGATCTCTCCAGACCCTGCTCATTGTTTTTCAGAAAGAATCCTTTGTATATGACTGTGTTTATATTGCATTTTTTAGTTATTATTTTTATGTTATGTGTATGAATATATTGCCTGCATGTGTGTAAGTGTACCAGGTTGTGCAATACTTGTAGAAGTCAGAAGAGGGCCCTAGATTCTGCTGGAACTGGAGTTACACATGATTGTTAGCCACCATGTGGGTACTGGGAATCAAACCTGTGTCCTCAGGAAGAACAGCCAGTGCTCTTAACTGTTAAGCCATCTCTCCAGACCCTGCTCATTGTTTTTCAGAAAGAATCCTTTGTATATGACTGTGTTTATATTGCATTATAAATTATTAGCTAAAATAATTTACTCATTTCAGGTAATGATTTTACTCTAAGTGATAAATTATACATTTTCCCAACATAAACCTTGTTTTAATAAAGAATATTCAGGACTTAGATTTTAAACCACATTCACAGATAAGGAAACATCTAGACTCACACAGTAACAGCAAATCTAGAGTTGCTGGAGGAATATAAGCCCCGTATGCATCTTACACTCAACAAGCATGGACCACATGCACATCACACTCTAGACACTTGGAGAGGGAGAACAGATACTCAGGGAAGGCCAGGCAACCCGATCTGACCCCTCGCCTTCCTGCTGCAGAACCAGTGCAGAACTGAACGGTGTCAGATGAGCTGGCCCTTCACCACACCAGGTAGCCCTTCTACTGTGAACAGTAGGCCCAGGGCATTAGCTACAGAGAGTGCCAATTGATTACCACAGAACAGAACAGAACAGAACAGAACAGGACAGAAAGAGGAAGTTGCAGATAGTCTTGTGGCTTTGCAAGCACAGCAGTAGATGAACTGCACCTCCAAAGTCTCAGTCCAAAAACTTTCTATTGGTATTTGCACCAAACAAGGCTCCTTGTGCTTCTAGCATCATCTGCAGGGCTATGAGGTCTAGTCAGCTTTCCAGGGTGTTGGAAACCTTTATCTTGCAAACCCCATTATAGATTTCAACTCCACCAGCTATCTCTTCAGAAAGGTAAGCCTCCCAATCAATTTGGACATCAACCTCTTTTTTGGTGGCAATTTTATACATAGGAATTGCTTTTTGTAGTGCAACCTTTGCCAGAGGGAAATCTTGTTTTCTGCACCACACAATCATCCAGGGCTCCAACAGCTGGTACAAGCCCTGGAGGACCAGGCCATCCAGTAGGACTTGGTACTTGGTTTATCTTTAACTACCTTGCTGAGTTGCTGTTTTGCCTTATTTAGCACATCAGTGATGAGGTCATCTCTTGCTCTGAGGACTTTTAGTCTTGCTTGATTCATCATATGGACCATCCTACCAAAAGAAATATGTAGATTCAGTGCAATTCCAATAAAAATCCCCATGAAATACTGCACAGAATTAGAAAAAAAAATTCTTAAATTTGTATGGAAGCACAAAAGATCCTAGAGAGCCAAAGCAACCCTGAGCACAAAGAACAATGCTGGGAGGATTACTATACCAGATCTCAAAATATACTACAGAGCTATAGTCATAAAAACAGCATGGTACTGGCACAAAAGTAGACAATAGACACAGAGATCACTGGAACATCACTGAAGACTCAAACCCGAGTACACACAATTTCAGTGACCTGATATTTGACAAAGGTGCCAAGAACACACAATGGAGGAAAGACAGCATCTTCAACAAATGGTGCTGGCAAAACTGGATCTCCACCTGTAGAAGAATGAAACTAGAACCTTATCTTTCACCTTTCACAAAAGTCAACTCCAAATGGATCAAAGACCTCAGCGTGAAACTAGAAACTCTGAAACTATTAGAAGAAAACATTGACAATAACCTACAAGGCACAGGTGTAGGAAAGGATTTTCTAAATCAGACACCAGATGCTCAGGAATTAAGGTCAACAATCAACAAATGGGACCTCATTAAACTAAAAAGCTTCTGTACAGCAAAAGAAACAATAAAAAAGTAAAGAGAAAACCCACAGAATGGGAAAAAACCTTCACCAGTGACAACATCTAACAGAGGTTTAACAACCAAAATATATAAAGACTCAAAAAACAAAAAACCAAGAAAAAAAATGACCCAATTAAAAGATGGGCTAAAGATCTAAACAGAGTTCTCAAAGGAAGAAATAAAGATGGCTAGGAAACACCTTTCAACATTATTAAGAATTAGAGAAATGCAAATTAAAACCTTAAGATTTCACCTTACTCAAGTCAGACTGGCTAAGATCAAGAGAACAATTGATACCAAATGCTGGCAGGGATGTAGAGAAAGGGGGATGCCCATTCACTGCTGGTGGGATTGTAATTTTATGCAACCTTTATGGAAAGCAGTGTGGAGAACTCTTAAACAGCTAGAAATTAACCTACTATTTGACCTGGTATGCCATTCCTTGGCATATACCCAAAGGACTCATCCTACTACAGAGACACTTGGGCAACCATGTTTGTTGCTGCTCTTTTCACAATAGTTAAGAGATAAATTATATTTTTAAGTAGAATGTATGAAACATTCAGAGATACCCTGTAAACTTGATTCTAATGTCTTAAGTTTTATATGATATATGAATAAAGAAATGTGGGAAAGACTGCTTAATCTATAGCAAAAATACTAGGGCATAACATGTGAATGTCATCCATAGTCTTATGTATTCTGTGTTTATGTTACTTTCAGATTATTTACTGTTTAACATCCTTACCAATGACAACGGCGATGTCATGCAGTTCTCCTGTGGTAAACATAACTCACTTGGATTCTAAAGCTGGAGAATAGGGTAAAGCCACCAAAGAAGAAAATTATATATATATGACACAGTCTAAAGAGGTTTAAGCATAGCTGAGGGATTAATTGCATAGTATTAGGCATAATGATTTTATTTCAAATTAATAATATAAAACAGATTACAATTAGCTGCAAGTTTTGGATATATAACATGTTGGATTAACAATGAGCCCTTTGTATGTGTGAGGGTGTAATACTATGCCTCTCTTGACATTAGGGACAAAAGTGGACAGACTGGCATGGAAAAGTGGTTGTAGAAGTGAAATTTTATATAGCAAGGTGGATGAAATGACACATAGAGATGAAAATGGTTAAGACTGATGATGTTCAGCAAGAGAAAGGGTGGAATTTCATTGCATAAGCAGAACTGTCCATGAGGTTCTCAGGAATATCAACCTGTGAACCATTTGCCCGGAGCACCTGCTGTCCTATTTTCATGTTCTTAGAAGTGCTCCTGCTTTTATGTGGAATACCTTTTTCATTAACTTCCTTGCCGCTTTATAGCTCAGTTCTAGCATTGCTTTGGAGGAATGGTTCTAGCTCTCTAAGTTAATTTAGATAATCTTGCAAGGTGCCTCCAATACCCTCTAGAGCTTTCTACTATAGAAACACATTTTCTTAACTGCTCTATGTTTGTGTATTTGTTTTCTGCACTAGTCTGTGGATTCCTTCCTATTACAGGTTATTCTTGGTTTGTTTCTGTTGCTTGTTTTGTTTTAATTGTCTTTGAATCTCTGTATGTTCCATAACTAGTGAGACAGGGCACCCATCTTGAAGCCACTCAAATATTTGACAAGTGATTAAGAATAAAGTACCTTAACTCTAATATTTTGTGATTCGCTGCAGATACCATGAGCCATGAGGCAATCCTTGATTAATATGTTGCATTATTCAGACCCTAGCACTTGACCTCCACACAGTCTGCAGACACATAGCCAAAAGCGGGTGTTATGGAATTGGAAAGGAGCTAGTGACACAAAGATGACAAATCGTAGGGAGGTAAGACTTCAGAAGAAAGGTTATAGGAATCTGAGTTTTGTTCCTTTAGGGTCCTTAAAAGAGGGCAATTTGATAAAATTCTTCAAGGTTAGAAAAGAAATTTCTATCTGCACTGAGAAAGAAGAGGAACTGAACTCAAACTTGACTGTAGGAAAAACTGCCAATAGCTACAAGTGTTTATCTTGAAGCTGCATTGAGGGAGGTGTTCACACAGCTATATTCAGAATAGATTGTTATCTAGTGAAGTCAGTCTGTGCTTAATCCTAACAAAGTTGAGTCAGGGAGTTAATAGCTGCCATAAAATGCTCTGGTCAGCCTTAAGATTCAATGATTCTTTGGGTGAAGATACGTTTCTACTGACCACATTCATTCCAGAGACGTGTGCTTTTCAAGTAAACTTTAAGATTAAAGCATTACGGTTTGGGTCTTCTTAAATGATCTCTTTAAGTTGTTCTACACATTGAGCCTCTGATGATCATGAATCACTGCTCATCTCTTAGAAACATAACGCTTCTCCAGATAACATCAGTTTCTTTAAAAAGATAGAGAGGAGGGGACTGCATTTCTTTTATGTTTCTTCTGAGACTAAATGTAGATATTTACTTGAGACAGAAGATGGTAAGATTGCTCAGGGTCAGCATCTGGTTTAAAACCAGCCAGCTCTTCTTTTATAAACTCTGCTAACTCTAAACAGCATCTG